ATGAAACAAGAGATTCCTCGAAACCCGGCTTTTCGTCATATTTTGCCGAGTTGCCAGTTGGACCAATCAACCTAACTATAACCTCCTTGACTTGAGGAATGATTGCGTCTAACGAGGTGTAAACACAATTTGTAAGTATGTACATGTGATAATGTGGCCTCTTAACGTGGTGTGACTCTGAGAGACCGGGTTACATCATCACAAAAGAAGAGCATCTTCAGACACATTTCACTTGCTTTGAACCGCTTTGCCCGCCAGACCCAAACAATCCAACCTTTTTGGTCTGCACTGTATGCATACCTTTTGGTTCACATGACGGCGTATGTTGCAACCACACTCGTCTGTCCCATCAAACCATGTACCACCAGAGCACCGACTATTCATAGCGGTTGTGGCCCGCATCCATCAACCCGCCCCCCTTCCTCCCTCAAGAGCACACTGTCTTTGTTCATGGGGCAGCCAGCGTCTGCTACAAAATACATTTCAACACCCAGGCCCTCTCTCTTTTAACTCCTCGTCGTGTGGTTTCACTATGAAATCGTGTGGCGATATGCAGACAACTCTACAACCTGACCACGGTGCAGACTGTTTATGGAGCCAAAGACGCTTGTCTGTTTGCTTTCATTAAAACGGTTTTCTGGCACACAATATCACACATTCGTGTACGCACACCAACACACACACACACAAACACGCAGATACAAACACACTCCTGCGTATGGTGAGAAGGCTGAGATAATTGTGTACTTTCATGAGCTGCTATCGCCTTAGCGACTGGCCGTAGACTCAAGAATTGGAATAGTAAGAGCCCGTATTTCCTGACGATACGTAAAGGAAACTGGCAGTCGTGTTGTTGGCTGCATGTATGAAGAAGAGTCCACGAGCGCCAGTAAAAGCTCGAGTTGTGGGCCGACTTTTGGCCCGTTTCTCGCGGTGACACAGTCACTTCGCGCCGGGCCGTGAGGAAGATCCTGTTGGCACTTCCTTCCGCCCCAGAGACTGTGCAACTTCGAGCAGTTTAGATCAAGCCACAATGATCAGATTGCATATTTCCGGAGCCTCAGGAGAGAGGACATCATGTATGTGTCTTTGGAGCGTAATGAGACATTCAACAGACTCAGTCAGGCAACAGAAACACATAATCCTTTCGATGATAATGAGAACATGGGCCTACACAATCACAATTTGGACTCTGGAAATAGGCCGGTGATTGTCTTGCTGTCGAGTATTGCTGCTTTCTATTCGTCAGTCAATATGTTTATCTGTACATCTCTTTGTTTGTTTGTCTGTTTGTCTGTATCTGTGCGTCTGATCTACTTGTGCAAATTATCGTTTTTGAGTAGGTTTTCGAGACTACCAGTAAGTCAAATATATGAGTTGTGCTCACCTTATTTCATTTAAGGTGACGAAGGACTGGCAGTTCAAGTATCCCCACAATTATGTGAGTAAAAGTGACGTTTCCATTCAATTTCACACAGCCTTGCTTCGCCAAAATGTGTTCTCATCGCGGCTGGGGTTGACTGTAGTTTCGTCCTTGCCATGACAGTGCAACATGTAATTTCGACATGTCGACCACTACTCGACATTGTCACGAGTACCCTTGGGTTGTCGAGGAAGTAAAGTTACGTTTGCTGTAGCAGTTGATGACATTACTTTTTTTTAATTTTGAGTAGGTTCACGAGACTACCGGTAAGGCCTAGGTGAGGTAGAAACTGCAGTCCACTCTGGATGAGAATGACTTTTGAGAAAGCAAGGTTATGTGAATTTCGATGGAAACGTCAGCTTTACTCATTACATTGTGCAATTTTAGAATGAGGGACTCACGATTCCATTGGATTTCATTTAACACCCAAAATGTCTATAGACTTTTGATGAGCCTGCAGTTGTGACTGTTGTCTTGTGCAAAGAAGTCAGATGAAGTTGGTTTACCAATTGCCTAAAGCCAAATCTTCTCTCGAATAAGCACTTCAATGGCACTTAATGAGCAGAGGATTGTTCAAAGTCCGATCTGTCTAGTGCTCATCTGAGGTGTGAAAATGGCTTCTGTAGCCCACATGCTTGTGGGTGGGAGGAGAGTTCATCGGTTGTCCACGCATGGGCCCATTGATGTCCTCCGCTTGGCATTGAAGCCGGAGGGTGTTTAGTCGCAGGTCACAGTAGGCGGAACATTTTATGCAAAAGTCTGCATACAAAACTGCTATTACATGTTCACTACTTTTCCTTTTTGGGCATGGCTTGATGAACGCCCGCCAGACGGTGTCGAGCTGGTACCGGTGCCTGATCTGGCCGAGGGGAGTACCCGCACGGTGGCCTTGCTCTGGCATCCAACTACAATCACCAGCTTAATCACCATACTCCGGCGAAGCACGAACCCGAGCACTCTGGAGGCGGCGGCTGGAGCCATCCACAACCTGACAGCTGGGTCCTGGCAACCGAGTCGGCAGGTGCGCAGTGAGGTGAGTTGTCTGTTTGTGTCAACAGCCCGTCGACTGTCCAAGAGACACCTGACGACCCGGTCACGAGGCCATTGCAGTTCACTTAACTCTACCCTCGAGAAGGTATCCTTCTCCCGACTCGACGACAGCCTCAGCAACACCCATAAAGCAACTCATGCAACGAAAATTACGTTGCCGTGACCGAAGTATGCCAATTAAGATGCATATCTTGTATGCATCTGACTTCAGCAACTTGTGGTGTTCCGGTGTTCGAGCTTGTCAGAGAGAAAGAGAGAGAGAGACTGACTGACAGGGAATTTGTATGTGACAACAGGAATGTACAGGTTGATATGTGGCAAGCAGAGGATTTCTGTCATTTCGAAAGTAGGCCTGGTTGACGATTTTGCCAGGGGCGAGCAAACTACAAGTTTAGACTCTGTGAAAGCATGGAGCCTGGTGAGGTTACAAGTGAGGCTCGAAGGTAGGAGCAACAACTTGCTGGTTAAAGCAGACCAACTGTCAAAATTTGGAGGAAAGATGATCGGACAAACACAGCTGAAATGTCAACACT